AAATCAGACTTTAACAGAACTGAAAAGACAAATAGATGACTCCATAGTAATAGTAGGAGACTTTAATATACCACTTTCAAAGACAGAACTGGAAAGAACTTCAACAAAGACACAAAGAACTAAACAATACAATCAACCAACTTGACTTTATAGATATCTACAGAACACTTCACCCAAAACCAGCACAATATACATTCTTTTCTAGTGCACATGCACCATTCTCTAGGATAGACCATATGCTAGGCCACAAAGCTAGCTTCAATAAATGTTTTAAAACATTGAAATACTGCAAAGCAGCTTCTCAGATCACAATGCTATAAAATTAGAAATCAACAATAGGAAGAGCAATGGAAAAAGAGCAAACACGTGGAAACTAAGTAACACCCTCCTTAAAAACTACTGGGTAACAGAAGAAATAAAAAATGAAGTTAACAAATTCCTTGGATCAAATGAGAATGAAAACACCACAAAGAACTGGAAGAGAAAAATATTTGTGCTCATTCCAAAGAATGATCTAACAGAATGTGGAAGTTATCAAACAATATCATTAATATCACACACAAGTAAAATTTTGCAGAAGATAATTCAAAAACAGCTACAGCAGTATATTGACAGAAAACTGCCAGAAACTCAAGCCAGATTCAGAAGAGGGTGTGGAATGAGGGATACCATTGCTGATGTCACACAGATCTTGGCTAAAAGCAAAGAGTATGAGAAAAATATTTACCTGTTTTTTTACCAACTATGCAAAGGTATTTGGCTGTGTGGATCACAACAAATTATGGATAACACTGTGAAGCATGGCAATTCCAGAATACTTAATTGTGCTCATGAGGAAGCTGTACCTAGACTAAGAGGCAGCTGTTTGAACAGAACTAGGGGCTTAAAATTAGGAAAGGTGTGCATGAGAGCTGTATCCTTTAACCATACTTATTCAATCTACATGCTGAGCAAATAATCAGAGAAGCTGGACTACATGAAGAAAATGGCATCAAGATTGGAGGAAGACTCATTAATAACCTGTGATATGCAGATGACATAACCTTGCTTGCTGAGCATGAAGATGACTTAAGCATTTACTGATCATAGATCTTCAGTATGGATTACACTTCAACATAAAGAAAACAAAAATCCTCTTAACTGGACCAATAAGCAACATCATGATAAACAGAGAAAGGACTGACGTTGTCAAGGCTTTCATTTTACTTGGCTCCACAATCAATGTCCAAGGAAGCAGCAGTCAAGAAATCAAACATCCCTTTTGGACCAGGTTTTCTGGTCTGATAGAGCCCAGTGGAACTCCTGAGACTATGGCCCCTAGCTGCCCTTCAGGTCTGGAATTGAACACACTGCTGTGGCTTCCAGCCAAACAAAAGACAGGCATATGAGCTGAACATTTACATTAGGTAGATATACTCCTTGGAGAGAGCAACTATGGGAGAATAGAAGGACTATGTATGCACAGGGAGATAGTTCAGGGGGCAGAAGTGCGTGGAGGAAAGGACACAGGGAAGAAGTGGGAGGGGAGCTGTTGCATTGTAATAAATTGTAGTCAATGTCATGAGACAAAGTGTATGTGAGTTGCTGTATGGAAAGTGAATTTGCTTTGTAAACTTTCAACCAGATCACAAATAATAAAAAAAAAGAAATCAAAATCCCTTGTGCACGTACAGTACCATGTTGTCAGTGATGTCAAGCATTGACGTATGGGTGGATAGATGGGTGGACAGGCTGAATAAGCAGGCAGGGGGCAATGTGCCCATGACCACTGTGATAGCTGGAGCTGTGTGTCAAATTGGTTGGACCCAGTTCTGTGTGGTTGTTCCCATGATAGGATCAGATGACTGTGTTCTGAGTGGCCAATCTGTTCAAGGGGAGTTTTACTAGAGGCGTGGCCTGCTTCCAGGATATCCACGGACATCCTGGGAAGAGAGACATTCTTCTGTGGATCAGGATTCTGTTGTGCTGCCTACAACTATCCATAAGTGAGCAGTCCACTGTTCAGCGTGGAGATCTTGGATTCGTCATTCGTTGGAGTCAACAGCCGGTGTACTGCCTGCCAGCCTTGAGCTTCTCAGACCCTGTGGTTGCGGAAGCCAGGAAAAGTCTCCAGCCTGACGTTTGCTCCAGGGACTTTGGATTTGCTGGCTTCCATACGTTTGTCAGCCATTTTCCTACGATAAATTTCTCTCTCTCTCTCTCTATATATATAAGCTTTGCTGGTTTTTGTTTCTCTAGAGAACCCAGTCTAACACAGCCATGTATAGGGCTGGCAGACGATGTTACTATGTGTATATTTGCATGTGCTTTAAGAATGTCCAGGTGTATAGTGGAGCTGAGAGGCAAGGTTGTGGTGGCTTACTGGCCACAGGCAGTTAGTTGGAGGGAGTGCATAGTTGGACCTGTGGGCTCAGGACCATGGGCACAGGGCCATCAAGCTCAACTGGCATAACATAGTACACAAAAACATTATTTTACATCCTACTTTGGTGAGTAGCAACTGGGGTTTTAAAAGCTTACAAGTGGCCATCTAGATGCAACAATGGGTCTCTCCTCATCCAGATCAAAGAAGAATGAAGAAAAGCAAAGACACATGGAAACAACAACTCTAAGGGGCTAGTAGCCTATATGACTATGAGACAGAAAACCTAGATGGGCCTGGCTACCACTGTCAACAACCTGGAAAAGGATCAGTGCAGGAGATCCTGAATAGAGTAGGAGAATAATGTGGCAAAAAACTCAAAATCATTAAAAAAAAAAAAAGACCAGGTTTACCAGTCTGACAGAGCCTGGTGAGACCCCCATGACTATGGGCCCTAGTTACCTTCAGGTCTGGAATTGAAGTCACTCTTGTGGCTTCTAGCCAAACAACAGACAGGCATACAGGCCTATAGATACACTCCTTGGAGCAATCAATCATGGGAGAACAGAAGGGCAGTGTTTGCACAGGGAGACAGCTGGGGGGTGGGGCAGGAGTGCATGGGAGGGAAGGACACAGGAAAGAAGTAACTACGGTGAGCAAGTGGGAGGAGAGCTGTTACATTGTGGGTAATTGCAGTCAATGTCATGAAACAAAATGTGCTTGAAATGCTGTATGAAAAATGAATTTGCCTTGTAAACTTTCACCCAAATCACAATAAAAAGAAAAAAAAGAAATCAAACAACATATTGCATTGGGCAAATCTGCTGCAAAAGACCTCTAAAGTGTTAAGGAGCAAAGATGTCACTCTGAAGACTAAGGTGTACCTGACCCAAGCCATGGTATTTTCAATAGCCTCATATGTACATAAGAACTAGACAATAAATAAAACCACAGAACTTATGCATTTGAGTTGAGGTGTTGGCAAAGAATATTGAATGTACCATGGACTGAGAGAAGAATGAACGAATCTGTCTTGGAGGAAGTACAGCTGGAATGCTCCTTGGAAGCAAAAATGGCCAGACCTCATGTCATGTTATCAGAAGGGACTAATCCCTGGAGAAAGACATCATGCTCAGTAAAGTCAAGGGTCAGTGAAAATGGAGAAGACCCTCAATGAGATGGATTGACACAGTGGTTGCAACAATGGTCTCAAGCATAGCAAAGATTGTGAGGATGGCACAGGGACCAGGTAGTGCTTCATTATGTTGTATACAGATTCAACTATGAGTCGGAATCAACTTGACAGCAACTAACAACTATTTAGAATGTGTATCTCGGCTTCCGGCAAGATGGCGGACTAGGCAGAAGGATTGCAAAGACCCTCTTCAACAAAGAAAAGGGAAACCAA